TTAATAACGACAACAACAACAGCAACAACTGATATATCAATGAGAGTTAGTTCAGATAGATTAAAAATATCAGATGTTGAGACACACTTATAAGATTTCATCTGATTAATTTAAGATCGATTGATATTTTTTAAATTTTTCGAAATACTTACGATCGAATGAGATCTTGTGGCTAACTGTCATCAGAATTCATTGCTTCAAGTGGTGTCCGTCAAGGATGTCCACTTCCCCCATCCTTGTTTAACTTTTTCAAAAACATACTTTAGAGTTAACAGAAGGATCGACTGTCTTTCGCAACACTATTGAATCGTAATTGACAATTCCATCTATATGTGCTAATATGTTATGGCAACTGGAACTGATGTACATACGTACCGACTTATTTCGATTCCGTTAAATAAAATGAATGAACGTTTAGTCAGAATTGCGAATTTACTAATATAGGTAAAAAATAGAAGCCTTTAGTAAATGGTTAGTATTGTTTCTTATTGCCTTTAATCATCAAAGTGGTATGATGAATATGATGAATAATTTTATTTACAGTAGTAAAAAAACTGAATATAATAAATTAATTATATATGATGTATATTTTTTGATTATATATTAATAGATTAAAGAAATAATGATTAAAATAAATTGAATATGCAATTAATTTAACAATTACATACCTTTGATTCACTCGATGTAGTTCAGAAAGAAAATGAAGCACTCGAGGTAATACCAAATTTAAAATTGATCAGCCTCAGGGCAATAATATATATTTTGTTTTGAATTATTTTTTACTAGATTCCACACAAAACATTGTTTTTTCACGTTTATTTATAATAAACACACATGTGCCAAGGACTGATCACCTCAATATCTCTGTGCAACAGGGTTGATTAAACAACTTACAATAAAGCTTACAAGTAGTATGCGGTGGATATGTTGCCTTGAAGTTACTACCGAAGAGAAGTGTTGTATCCGGATGTATGGCGCGATCAGAATTTCTTGACGAACAGAAGATATATAGAAGAATACAGATATGAATACTTGTTTCACAGATAGATGTTTTATGACAAGGTGTACAGGTCTGGCCAAGTAGACTGTCTTCCATCTTCTTTCATCACCAATGATAATCCTGGTGTGTAATTAGGGGGTTGTATTTGTCAAGTTCGAGTTAATGTCGTTGCCAGACTGTATAGACCTGGCATCATATATGTAAATATTGATTTTTCCAGTTTAGTTAAGTCTTGATTCATTCTGACTTTCAATTTCAATAATCCTAGACGAAGTACGTTCACTTAAACATAGATTATTATTCACTTTTGCAATTAACCTTTTCAGAGTCATGGCTAGGGATAGTTGACGTGGAAATCCTGAACTTAGGTTCCCTGCTATCGCACTCTTGTCAGCAAAGTATATTTTGGATCTTGAGGGAACTGAAGCTCCATCTTTTATTAGGCGTACTTTGACGTCTATATTTATTATCTGGATGAATACTAACACATTTTCAATCATCTTGCTTACTCCAATTTCTTTACATTGAACTCCGATTTAAGCGGCTTGAAGCATCAGGTCAAAAATGCATAAAAACGTTAGTCCTAGTGGTCCTTACATTTAACAATGACCACATGAGAAATCGTTAGGACTTTTGAAGACCATCAAGAAATAAATTGTTCCGAAAGTATAATTTCTTGAAATCAGTGAAGGTCAATCTGACAATCATTCGGAAACGTATTTCCGATCCAAGGTTTAAATGGTAACAGTTGAGAAGGGTGCTATCGTTTTGTTTCATAAGACAAATCTGATAAAAAATCAGGAATTTTTCGGTTTATTTTTATTTAGTCTGGTGTGCTGTTACGGGTGTGAGGGCGGATATCACCTCCCAGCTGCTCACACTGTCGAAGGGTGCTTCTTGAGGAATCTGAAAAGGAAGTTAGATTAGCGTTAGTCTTAGAGACCTGAGAGTGTGACTGTAGAGCCCAACGGACAGCTGCTTCAGGTCGGCCGCACACAGCATTTTCACGTGATATTTACTGCTGTCAGACCTCTCTACATTCAGCAGTACGACTTTGATCCCAAGACTTCAGTTGTTGCTTTTAATCTCACAGTTCTCTAATCGACCTGAGTGGCATGACAGTACTAACATGAACACATCCCCCAACCAAGATAGCTCAGTTATATCATCAGTATAGACAAGCCCGACCACTACACCAAGGTAGCAGCTAAGGTCGGGTGTCGGTTAATTGTAATTGGTTAGAGACCTAGAATGACACGGCTTAAAATTGTTTGCAATGACGCAGGTGAATTCATTCTTTTCCTTCTCACAAACTCTAATCTTCTGAATTCCTCATGACCGTTTTTCTCTTTTTTTTAGTTGATCTTACTGGGATATATTTCTCGAAACATATATTCAATCCTTAATCTTCACCATTAACTCTACATCTACCACAGTTGGATCGTAATTGACGATTACATCTACGCACGTACGGAGTTCTATTTTGTAACTGACTGACTGATTTTATTTTTATGATCGCTCACCTGGCACAAAAAATTTGCTTTTTCACTGGACAAAGCTTTATTGATTAAAATCAATTTGCAGTTAATAAAAACAAACGTTGATTCGAGCTAGGAAAAATGAAAATAAGGTCACAATCGTATTTCATAAATCGATCAAGGAAATTGGCCAATAAAATTTACTTTACTTTGACAGAATGTGAAGTCTGTTAGATACTGACTTAGACTTATTGCTTTCAAAACATTTAAGTTATATTTTCACTTTGATAGACTCTCCTATATAGATAGACTGTGGTGTTGTAACTACCCAATAGGTGGCAGTAAAACTTTCTAATTTATTGGAGCCAACTAGCTCAACGGACAGTACCAACTACCGATGCTATTTTTAGTATTTTGTGCTATTTGAACTTTTTTGACTAACCAATGAGCCATATTGTTCTCAGTAAATATTTTGGCTATATAAGTATTATTTTCTATTAAGATCTTTATTTTTGTGCCTATAACTACCTGAGGATTGGATGGAAAAAAATTACAACGCGCCTAGACCTTTCTGTAAAATAAGTTTGGCTTTTCTCTAAGCCTACTTTTACTATTATTGAGGTGAGAAATTGGGCAATTGAAACGTCTTCAGACCGACTGCCTGTTAACAACTAGAACATTAGAGTAAATAAGAAACAAATTTGTTTGGAAAAGGAAGTTAATTGGATTCTTCTCAAAGCATTATTAGCTAGGATCCGTGTAGCGAGTTAATGCAAATCTACATGCTGATGCAATACATTAATGCTTGAGTGGATGTCTCGAAGTTAGACCAATAGTAATCATCAAGTGCTAAATTACAACAAAACTACGGTTTTATTAATCTGGTGTCAAAGACATTGTTCTTGTGTAGTTATGGGATCAGTCAGTCAGTTACAACATAGAACTTCGTAAGCACGTACATCAGTCCAAGTTGCCATGTCACATTAGCACATATAGATGGAATCGTCAATTACGATCCAATTGTGGTAGATGTAGAGGTAATGGTGAAGATTAAGGATCGAATATATGTTTCGAGAAATATATCCCAGTAGGATCAGTTAAAAAAAAGAGAAAAACGGTCATGAGGAATTCAGAAGATTAGAGTTTGAGAGAAAGAAAGGAATGAATTCACTTGCGTCATTGCAAACAATTTTGAACCGTCATTCTAGGTCTCTAACAATTGGTTACTGTCATCACGCGGACTCCAACTAGGTAGTCTACAGCTGCCAACATGGCCTTGTCCACTTGTCAATGACTTCATGGGTTTGTGCCATGTTTTGGTTTGGCCGCCCCAAGCTCTCTTCCAACCTACCCCAACATCGCACGTCCAGGAATTCGTTGGTTGGTCATTCATAACGTGTCTTAGACTCCTCAACTGACGAAGTTTCAATACTTCACCTACTGATTTGCCATCCTTACCTGGTATTCGTCTCTTAACAACAGAATTGTTTACTGGATGGTCGCAGGGTATATGGGCAATGCCCCGAGGACACCTATGACCGAATACTAATAGCATACGAGTACCTTCTACTCTCACTGGCCATGTTCCACAATCATAGAGCAGCTACTCAACCGTAGCTGTTACCTTGACGTGGTGGTCAGGCTCGTCTATCGTGATGACCCAACCGAGCTATCATGACTGGAACATATATTCTTTTACCTCTTACTATGTCAGGGCAGGTTGACTGGAGAAAGGCAAGACAAAAAGCAGCAACTGAAGGTCTGAGCGCGAAATCCTACTGCTGACTGTAGGTATACTTATATGCCGAGACCACATAGCTTGTCCCAAGCCTTCAAACAAACTAACTCATCCTTCCTGGGTAACTACTCACTCGTCTTTTGACCTTGTCAGCTGTTCGCTTTTATCTTGGTTGTTTCTATTAGAGTGCATGTGTATCGCTTACTTCGCTCATTACATGTCTAGCTTATTTGGTATGGCTATTGATATTTAGTCATGCTTAATCGCAGTAAGTTGGCTTGCTCACCTCCACTTTGCTTAACTCTGCTCGTATCTTCTCATTATCATGTATGTCTGCATGAACGCTTGCCTGATTTAAACTCATCCAACCGAGTCCGTATTTGGCTCCTAAGAACCACCGTCGCACAAACAGGTTTCGCCTAAGTATGATATACAGGAACTTCATAGCATACTTGGACGTTCTTAAATAAAGGAGTCAGCTCAAGGGCCACTCAATTGGTGATCCCAACTCCTAATCTAATGTAGACACTAAAAGAAGTGTGACAACAGTAAGGTACTTCTTCCGGACAACTATCACCTGCAGCGATGCTGCCGTCTCACAACGGAAGGAAAGGGTTAGAAAAGGTTAACCCTAAAACTGTCACACCTTACCTTACCCCACCGATTTTCGTCTCCGGAGGTGAGGCCTTTTGAAGAGCGGAGCTAACACAGTTATGGGGTGAAAATGTTTTTATTGTAATAAATATTTGTACAAAATACATAATAATTGTGAGAATGACACCGAAATAATTATGACGAATGTAAGCCTGTATCTAACGATTAGAATATGGACAAACTATACACCATCAGTCCTAATACAGAAGGAAATGTAATTCCATAGTCATCAAACTTCATCTATACCGACTGATGCCAATATTAGTATATACAACTCACATCAGATAAAATTATTACACTCGTCATAAAGTGGGGAACTGATAAATTATTAAAAATACATGAGCCAATGACTAATTTGGAAAACTCTATAGCTGTTTTGACTTTGACTGTTACAGTGGGGCGCTACAGAAGTCTTCTGGGATTGCAAATACTAAGAATTCCAAATCAGTCATGACTATCGTAGGATCTATAAAAAATTAGTAACGGAAAAAGTCGACACGCCATATCAGAACAGCTGAGTCAAATAAACGAGATGAATAGAAGGGGGTTGAGACATCTTTGATGCTGATAGCAACAGAGACTAAACATGGTTTGGGAAGGAGTGAATTTGTAGAATACAAGATGAGGAATAAATGCATCTACGGCTGTTTTGAAAATAATACCCAGATTCTGAAACTGAGAATTACCCATGGACCGATAATCGGATTTTGAAGGACGACAAGCGTAGATAAACATTACCAATCCAGGTAGCGCTAAATAACAAAATAATCCGTAATGAGGGGTCGGAATGATATCTCGTTACGTGGAAACATCAAACTTCGAAACTCAGCACATCAAAACATTACTTCCCGCAGAAGTAAACATTTGAAAACTAGAGTACCCAAAATATGTTTTTAATTGTTTCCACAGACCTTGTATGATAATTGTCCGCTATTCTTATCAGGGATATCTTATTCTAACGGAACACAGTATCTGTCATATTATTCGTAGATGCAGATACTGCACCTGGCCCTTAAATAGATACACCCCATACCAATACCCTTGACTATAAGATAATTGGTATTCTGAAATGAGTGACGTGCATATCAATTCAATATGAAATCATATAGCATCCACCTAAATTGACAACTGAGTAGATTGGTGCTTCCGAATTTCGAAGTAACAGTATAATCGTCTCTAATAACAATGTAAGAGGTATTTCCACAAATAAAGTTGGTTTTTATTATAGTTTTGCATACTTAAACCGTTTATTGGATTGGAGGAAATATTTGTCGATCAGGATCCTAGCAGTAATCAAAAGTGTGGTGAATAATCAAGTAAGGTGATAACTGAGGTTTTCAATTTACCTCCGGTTAGATGAAAGTGTCTGTGAATGCCTGACAAAACTGTCTCATACTCATTCTGCAATTCCTTACTACACCACTACTCTGTCAAACAAAGATGTTATGAGTTGCAGTCGCCCCAACGTGATTTCTATAAAGAAATTATCATGAATGAAACCTAATAGCTTTTAATATTAATATACGATAAAGCGATTACACAAATTAGATTAAATGAACCAGTTAACAATAAACGATCGGATAGTTCTCGAAAATGGTGTGGTCAAAGTTCACTCAGATTCTGAAGATGATTCAGACTCATTTGTGCTCGAATTTTTCGACTCATTTTTAGTCTTTGTGTCCCCTGCAAGCTTTTCTGAAGATTGTTTGGAGTGATCTGACGATGAGTCAGTATCCGATTCCGACTCTGACTTTTTGGCTTTGGAATCGGTAGATATCTTTGGAGAAGCCGAAGTAGAGTGCTTTGAAGAACCATCATCTGAATCTGTCTTGGCTTCAGATTCCTCAGATGAACTTTCAGAATGCTTTCGAGAACTTGATTTCGATCGTTCTGACAGATTACCATCTGACTCTGTTTTTGACTTCTTGGCGTCTGATTCTCCGGAAGAATCATCCGAACTTTCGTCAGAATCTTTCGGAGGCTTCGCCTCGCCCTGAACGTCTTTAACTGACAGGGGGGTTACTATCTCTTCTTCTGCATTCTCCGGATTTTCATCCACAGACTTTTTACTCTCAGGTTTAGTAGAACTGCTTTCGTTTTCAGTACACTCCTCTCCTTGATCTTCAGTTGAATTATGATTCTCTTCTTTGTGACCACTATCCTTTTCTTTGTCAGAATCTTTATCGACTACTTCCTCCTCAGAAATATCAGACTTTTCGGCGTTGCTTGAAGACTCCTAGCAAAATCAACTTATTATTATTTAACACACTACCTCAGCCTTTTCTTCCTCTTCTTCCTCACTCCCGGCCTGAAATTTAACGCCATATGAAATAAGTCTGACGAGGTTTACTACGGTATAAGTTCATGCATCACATGCAAAATAGGGATAAGCAATCATGCACGTAGACTCAAGGTGTAAATATGGTACCTCGCTGGCACTGCTACCCATCAGTGCTGAAAACGGTTTCTATATTATATTCATAATAGAGTTAAGTGAAGAACTTACAGGTTTATCCCCAGGTAATTTTAAAAAGGATTCTAGTTCTTCCATTTCCAATGCCTCGTAAAACTCCTCATAGCCCTGAAAAGATGAAAATAAGTAAAATACTAACCCCGAGGTATTCCTCATCATAGAAAATATGCGGTGGAATTAAAGGTTTTTCTTTCTTTTTCAACTCTTCAAATAGCGAGCATTTTTCAGATTCATTGGAGATATCAGATAGGTCAATTTCCTTAAATTCAACTTTCTTGGCGTTAAGCAGTGACAGGATAAGCATCTGCTCTTTTTTGACCTGGGTAATGACTGACTAAAAGCAATTATATGCCAACCTTCAGGCTTCCAGAGAGAGTACTGATGTAAACTTTCAGTACCATCACTGTAATGCAGAATTCGAAATTTGCGGCTAGGATGCGGTTCCAGGTGTTCGGTAATGTCCAATGGATGGAGGTCTAGCCACTCGACTGTCTAATTCTAGTCAGTTGGCAGTTGGTTGTGAGTTTGTATGTCTCTGGATTTGAATGAAACGTTTGTTTCAGGGCATTAGGGTTTCCAGATACTAGCAGCCGTCACATTATCAGTTAGTTGCAATGTGGAGAGTAATAAGGGTAATAAGGATAAATTAAAATGATAATATGAGTAAAATTTCAGAACTGAGTAATATATAGATGAATTTAGTTTATTAATTGGTAGTGAAGATTGTGAGAGAGGACCGAAGTGTAAGCAAGGGAGAGGAAACAGAGATAATAGGCGAGATAGATTAATTGATTGATCTGAGGAGATGGCAATGGTAACAACTAGCAGGTCTCAAGATATGCATCATGAACGGCTTGTCCAAGAGGTAGATGATAGTCCGTATGTGAGTACGTGATTATCAAGTCTCTTCTTAAAGCAGTCCACTGAGGGGGTTGTAACTACCTCGGCTGGGAGAGCATTCCAAGTTGCGACGACTCGCAATGAGAAAAAGTGTGCACGAATCTGAGTATTTGCTCTTTGATGTGCAAGTCGTTAATGAATATCAGGAAGAGGAGTGGGCCTAGGATGGTCCCCTGTGGAACTCCTGAAGTGGATACTCTCCAACTCGCGTGCACCCTGTTTACCTTGGTGCGAAACTTTCTATTCTCAAGGTAGCTTCTGAGCCAAGATACGAGTGGGTCAGTGAAGCCCATTTCCACAACCTTTTCGACTAGGCGTGCGTGGGGCACTGTGTCAAAGGCTTTTGCGAAGTCGAGAAATACTACGTGCACTGGTATTTTATGGTCCAAGCAGGATGTCCAACTGTCCCATGCGATGAGAAGATTAGATGCACACGACCTGCCTTTCCGAAACCCGTGTTGAGCTTCATGGAGTATTTTATTCTTATCCATGTACTCCCTCATTTGTTCGCCCACTAGTCCTTCCATAACCTTTGATAATATAGGTAGTACTTCGACTGGTCTGTAACAGGATGGGTCCTTTCTATCTCCTCCTTTGAAGATTGGAGAGAGAGTAGCTTGTTTCCATTCCGTTGGGAATTGATGTGACTCCGGTGAATGCCTGAACAGGTTGCATAACGGTAAACAGAGGGATTCAGCGCACTGTTGCAAGACTATAGGGAAGATGTTGTCACAACCTGGTGACTTACCTGGGCGTAAGGATTTTAGTTTCCTTAATACTAGGTCAGGAGTGATACGGATGTTCCCTAAGCCGTCATCTGGCATTGGGTTTGCGTAATACTGTGAACATGTAGGCGCCTGGTTTAATTGATCTATAACGAAGATTCAGTTTCTCTGTGCGTGTTCATCGATGAGGCTGATACATTTGTAGTGGAAATATCATTGTTCTATACCTGGATTTCTGGTTTAAATTCGTTTGGGAGTTTAAACTTGGCAACCATCCCAACTACAACACGTTTATTCGGGTAATGGATTCCAGTAATCGACCAATCGATGATTTAGACAGAATCCCACTCTGAGTTTCTATGATTGCCGTTCTTCAGCCTAATAACCATGGCATTAAAAGTGATTATTTATGCGGAGATCAAAAGGATAAAACAATGTTAACACCAAGGTTGTTCATCAAGATATGTAATGCTGGAAAAAGTTAACCTCGCGTTCTACAACAAGGAGAAGCCATTTACGCGTTTTGGGCAAACATTTTGTGAGAGTTCGGCAAAACTTGTTACTAATTTAGCGTCCACACGCTTACACGGGCACCGATAGTATAGTGGTGCTGAGATCTCCTTTCATTGGTATGTTGATGAGATGTCTTTATTTCCAGTCTGTTGGAATTTGTTCTTTTCCCGAATCTCGCTGTAGAAGGCATGGAACATCCTTGCAGTTACCGATATGTTTGTTCCTAATGCGTCATCTGGAATGTTTTCTGGCTCTGCTACTTTGACACTATTGATTTATATGATGGCCCAGATTGTTTATTCAATGACTGGTGGGTCAATATCAATTGCTAGGTCCGTAGGTGACGCTTCGATGATGGGTGGGTTCAGCGGTGCTTGTCCATTCGAGAGTTCTTCAAAGTTCTCTGTTCCGCCTGTTCCTCTGTTCTGTAATGTCGTTAAATGATTTTTCTTCCTTGTTCCTCACTGGTCGTTTTGGTTTGCCACATTCTGTTGGTTCTCACATCTTCCATGGTTATCCTGAGATTTTTTTGGTGCGGATGTAATCAATTTGTAGTGTGTAGTGTGTGTACTGTCGTCCGGTGAAACCCATACCCATTTGTGCATGCATTTGTGTGTGATTAAGGCGCTGCTCACGACCAGTTTGTCGAAAGCATGCAGATTTGCGAATCTCTCGCCGTTTACGTTCCTTTCTCGCAGTCTATCGCGTCCCACGATGTCTACATATGCGGTGTTACTCACTCCAACCTTGGCGCTTGGGTATCTCATAAGAGTGATCAAATCCTTTGCATGACACTCTCTTCGATTGACCGCAGTCTCTCATGCAAATGACCTTTAACATCCTGATTGTTATCTTTCATGGGCGCATAGCACTGGATGACATTCATTGTTGCCTCATTCTTCTCTGTCTTGAAAGATGTTTTAGTTATCCCGGATGTATGAGGTTCTCGCCCTATAAGTGATTTTCGTGCCTTTTTGGACAGCATCAGTGCAACTCCCTGTGTGTGAGGCATCTTCTTGTTCTTCTTCATGGCCGCAGTACAATAGCATCTCTCCTAGAGCTAATCTCTTCTGTCCAGTTTAAGTTCAATGAATCTCACTTATTGCAAGCACCAACGGGTCCAATCTTTTCATTTCTGCACAGACTTGAATGGTTCTTCCGGTCTCTCACTTTGTGCGAATATTCCATGTACTTATGAAGTTGATTGTTCTAGTTATCGGAAGCGGCATCGGTCTCGTGACTTTCGAAAAAATTCGGCATTCACCATGAGGCATCATAAATGTTTTAGATGTGAACCTTCCAACTGCCAGGGAAGAGCTTAGATGGTTTGGACTAATTTTCTTGGTCAGTTTTTATGGAAGTTGTTTTTCTATGGGATGCAGTCACTAAATACACGCCCGACTCTTTTTGTCTGGATTTGGGACCGGAAGTAGTCCTAGATGGGCTCCAGGAGGAGTTTTGTATGTTTATATTACAATATTTTAGTCACTTTTATGGGCATTGGATAACAGTTCAGTTTATGTTAGCGGAAAATACACTGTTTACTTCTGTTTGAGTAGTACGAATATTTAAGTGCTATAACTGCATGTTTGCATAACACAGCGTTTGAAAGACTTTAATTCCCCAGATATGTTGCTTATCTTTCAGCTTTACTAAGACTTAAAAGTAGAAATATGCTGGAAATAAATATTTTGAATCATTTGGTGTATTCAGCTATTTCAAATCTATGAATAAAGGATGTTGCATCGAAATGAGCAGGCTTTTACCTTTCTAAACAAAGACTGGCCTAGTCATATAATTCGATATTTTGGCTTGACAAATGATAATCTTTTAGTCTTTCTGAAGTGCACATCAAAAACACTTTAAACTGCAGTGAACTTAGTGCAGTTACTCACAATCTTAAATGCATATCAAGTCAATAAAAAGTGGATGACATACATGATACTCTGTCTACCATTTATTTTGGAAATTAAACAAATTTTTAAAGCGCTTATTTTGAGATGCAGGTAGATTCGTAAACCGGAAGAAAAAATAGCTTTACTTTCTCAATTTCTTGATAAGTTCAGGCCTGTAATGTCAGTGAGAAAACTAGCTTTTTAATAGCGTTACTTTTTTCTAACCTCTGACAGGATACAGGAATATGAACCCCGGGATACCCTAGACATTTTGAACAAATAAGATTCGCTAGAAGCTTACTTTAGACGAATTTTTATGCTTTTCTAAAGAATCGAATTCCGAGGATATGGCTTATTATAGCGTTGTTATAATAGATTGTTTAACTAATCAGTCGCAGTTTATCCCAGTAAAACAAACATTCGGACAGAGATAATTGAACTGTATGACTATACATTGAAGAAACTTTTCATACGAATTCAACAGAGGCTGCACGTTCAATGTGTCTTAAATCCTGAGATGATTTTCAGTGGCTATTTGAGTGCAAAACGAGGAAACCTTCGCTATACATTTAGTTTGAATTACGAAATAATGAAAGGACTTGCACGTCGTAGAGTTCAGAGTGCCTCAAGGTTTATTGAGTCTCTTTGCAATAGGTCAGTATTAAGGAACAACCATTCAGAACACAAAATCTAAATATGAAGTATAAGTCTTAGAGAGTTCGCCACTTTTCTAAAAAATCTTACTGCTTCCTCGAAAGTGAAATATAACAAAGGGTATCTAAAATGCAAAACAATAGCTGCACATAATTATTGTAGTGTTAACTAGAAAACCCAATTACCTCTGTCTCTGGGGGGAAATAAGACTATTCAAGTAACTCTGTATAACATCTCAAAGTTGAGGGCTTTGGAACTGTTAAAGTCCTTTCATCCGTGTTTCTAAATTCCACTTAAGGAATTAGTGCCGATCCTTTGAATAGGCAGATCGCCTAAAGGAATATGGAACTCGATTTCGATGATAAACAAAAGAACCATTCTAGCTGGTTTTTTGAACTGATATTCAGAGTGAGAATAAGCAATAATTTGGTAATAATCAAAGTGTGATTTTCGGGAGAAATACTCAGAATTCTAACTCACTTCTGATCACATCTTGTAATTAGCCGCGTTCTTCATCACTACACGCACTAACTACTTGTATTGTTTGAAAAGTCTACTTAGATCCGTCCAATTATCAATATCCTTTCGCCAGCTTAATAATAATAATAATAATAATAATAATAATTTATTCTCAAATAACAAACATGTTATATAAACCAATGGATTTCTTTGAGCCGGATTCTTGTTATTTCGGTGCAGTCCCATATGCTTGGTTGTGTCCTATTGATTGCAGTCCAGCCACTCGACTGCACTAATTCTAGTCATTTTGC